CCCCGATGATCTTTTTTTTAGTTGTTTTAATGTTTAACAAGCATTTTATTGGTGGAAGTGAAGTTTATCTACTTTAAATACTGTTCGATGGTAATTTTATAACTCGTTATGTTTGTTTTTGTTTTTTTGATAATTGAATTTTAATACTTTTTCACGTTAATTACAACATCATCATTTTGTTTTAGACCTGAGTTTGATAAAATAGGAAACTGCTGAACATAACTGTTTGTAAATTAGTAAATACTATCGGATTTAATCTGTGAAGTAACAAGTGACTACAGCTGTCAAATAAATGCACTGAAATAAAAAGGACTTCCCTCATAAATAAGAATGCATGACTCGCATATTTACTAATACGCTCTCAATGAAACTTGACAGAAGTGAAGTGAGCACCTTTTCCATTCAGTCCACAAAAACGCTCCGTGGCAGCATCAAGACTCCTTAACATTTACTGCCGCTAACCCAAACCTACTCGCTTTCCCTGCGGCTTTACAGACCTGCGTTCCCATCATACCTTTATTGCATCCCTTTCCGTAATGCCGTGCTGGTTATATACACTCAGCCGCTTCATTTCAGTCCAGAGTGGAGAGCTCTTGCTGAGGAAGGATGCTGAAGTGAGCTATTTAGTTACTTGCAAGGTTGTATTCAAATAGTAGGGCCATGGTTGTTGCACTCAGCTGTTGTTGTAGTGGGAAAAAAAAGTGAGATACTAAATGAAAAGAGGATGTTAAAGAGGAGAGAGTGGAAGAAGAGAGTGATGGCAGAGAGGTGGAGAGGCTCGGGGGGGGGGTTCATAAGGAGAGACGGACAGGAATAGAGTTAAAAAGATGGGGAGGGCTGAGGTGAGGTGTAATGATGGAGAGGTGACGAGAGAGGCTGATGAGAGATGGAGGGAGAACAAAGAGATATGTCACATATCTTTCATGTTGAGAGGGCTGGAGGAGAGGCAGACATGGAAACACAAAGAGCCAGCTTAAGTATGTTGTGTGTGTGTGTGTGTGTGTGTGTGTGTGTGTGCTGTTAAGCATTTATGTGTGTGTTATGTGTTTACACATACGTGCATGAAGTACGTGTGCATTTTTACATGTGAAAGAGATCCCAAGGAGAAAAATACATCTTGTGTGTGAGAAAAACAGTTTTATTTGTGTGCGCATCAGCCTGTCCACGAGAGAAATGGAAAGACAGACGAGTAAAATACACAGCGGAGATGAGCTCAACAGGGGGGAGATAAAGGAGAAAATATAGATGGAGCACTCAACAAGGACGAGAGAGACACATATACAAAGTGAATGAGCCAAGTAGAAAATGGTGAGAGAGCGCATGAAGTAGAGAGAGAGAGAACATAAAGGAGACAGATGATTGATAGAAATGACTAAGAGGACAAAGAATGAGAGAGAGAGAAGAAAAGAGACATGTACAGGACATGAAAATGATACAGAAAATAGATGAAAACAAGGGGAGGTAAAAGAGAGAGAGAGAGAGAGAGTATAATGGGGAGAGGAGAGGGGAAAATAAGGTAAAAAAAGAGAGAGGATAATTGATGACAAAGTTAGTAAAGGTGTTGACGGGAGAGAGTGGGAGAGAATGCACATGAGGACAAAGGAGAGACGGGACAAGAGGTTGACAACAGAAGGACACCACAAAGGGATGGATGGATAGAGATACGTCAGAGATAGAGCAACACTTACTGCTACACTTCAGTCTGTATAAAGACTGTTGCCTGCGACGACCCATCCGATATCTGAAGCCTCGTCTGACATGGCAACTTTTTCTCTTACAACAAAATGATTTGTTGTTGCATTGTGAGAGGCGTGGTTAAGTTTTAGACTTTCTTGAGGTACGGGAGAGATCGCAGTTATGGTTTAAAGTCGTGTTTCCCAAATGTTTTTGCCGGGGGCCGGATTTCTAAAAATGACAAACCATCGCGACTCAATTCACAAAAGGTCTTCTCTCTAAATCATGAGAAGAGCTAAATGTTTGCGTAAATGAACGCTCCTGACTATTTTTAAGGCCATTTCCGCGTCACCTTATGTCATCTTGAATTGGTTTATTCAATTCAGATCAATTCAATGTGGCTTTATTGGCATTAAAGTTTCACTAAATCAATGTTGCCAAAGCATCAAAATAAAAAAGTATACAACAATATCAATAAAATTATACCCATTTTGAAGAGATATACTTTTAAAAAATAACAACCTTGTTTTATGCGTGTTATTGGAAACAAATGCACATTAAATACTTAAAAATTAATATATGCACTTAGGTCTGAGTTAACATAATTTCCTCTCATCAGTTAAACAAACAGAATGTTTCAAATATATAATTAGATTCTATGTTATATGTAGGCTACAATTATCAGAACAATACGAACATTCATGCGGCTCAAAGGTGAACTAAAGATATCAATCCTCAATAGAATACTATGGATAGATTATGCAAATGTCAAGAATCAAGTTCTTTACCCAAATAAAACTCAAATACCAAGCATTCAACACACTCTCTTCGACCAAAATGTTCTATGTACTCCGGGGACATTGCCACTGAAGCAGCAGAATATATCGTAACATGTCGTAGCTTCAGGGGGAACCAGCGAAACAACTCATGAAACTGTACTGAACTCCTTCAACATCTGTCCCCTCTTTTTGTCTTTTGAGGTTCTCACTACTGTACTAATTCATGTTTTTAGTCTGGCACTAATTCGTTTTTCTTCAGTATCCTCCGTATAGTAATGTTGTGTATTTTGTGTGTGGTGTTGAATGGTGCGGTAATGTGGTAACCTTTTGTCTTCTTTACATCTTACTCAGAATTATTACACATATAGTATAAACCTTGTACTGTGTGATCTGCCGGTGCTGTACTCCATTATGTTCAAGCCAATAAAGCGAATTTGAATTGAGATGGGCACGTACGCGGATAGAGACAGACAGAGATAGCAAGTGGGTAAAATGAGACAGGAAATAAAGAGATAGACTGAAACAGAGAGCAAAAGAACATCTGACAGCTAGAGAAAGAAGGAGGGGAATAACTAGAGAGGAGGAGGGGTGATAAAAAAAGAGGGCCTGACAGCCTCTGAGAGATGGAGATAGGAGTGAGAGGGACGGACTGAATGAGGTGAGGAATAAATGGAGAGGAAGAAGAGAGCGATAGAGTGAAAATGAGCAAGAGAATACAGAGAGCGAGAGAGAGAGAGAGAGAGAGTAGTGTCTCGCTCTCATCAGTCAGAGCGTTGCTCATCCGGCGGCAGAGGCTGCCTCTGTCACTGTGACGGATCCTCGCTGTCTGTACGCCGCTCGCCACCAACACCATTACAGCACATTACTGATTCACACACACAAGGAAACACACACACAGAGGAGAGAGAACAACACATTTAACAGGCACACGCGTACCTGCAGAGGTGGTACCACAAGGTATTTAGCACACACACACACACACACACACACACACACACACACACACACACACACACACACACACAGAGGTATGTTTGATGTGTTGGTGTCAACTATACACACAAAACACACACTCAACACAGACTCGGATAGCAGCATGACATACTTGGCATAGGTATCTGGTCCTTTTATGTCATACTGTATGATTCTGGATTTGTTATCTAATTAATATTGAAACATTTTATTCTAATCCAGTCTGCAAATCATTTTCTCAATTGATTTATTAATTATTTATTTGGACATTTTTCATTTAAGATTTCAGAAAGTAGTAAACAAAAGGCCCATCACTATTTTCTAAAGCCCACATTGACTTATTCATATTGTGTTTTTTGTCTGACCAACAGTTCAGAATCTAAAGATATTCATTATTAGTAAAAAAAAAAAAAAAAAAAAAAATTCACATTTGAGAAGCTGGAACCAGTGAACTTTTGGCAAGGTGAAAAGTTAGATTACTTAAGGGTCGGTGTTTGTCAGTGGTTTTATACTTACCCTTTAAAAATAACTGATTAATAAAATAGTTGATTATTACTTAAAGACTAATTAATAGACTAGTCTTGATAGAAACCTCTGATCCCAGGCGTTCGTATTTACACCTGGTCCTTGTTATCTCTATTCTGCCAGTTTTGTCCTTTTCTCCATATGCAAATTAGGTAGGTGGAGCTGGCGGAGTTGTCAGCACACATGGTCTGTCCCAAGTCAAGGGAAGCGATGTTGCTGCTGTGTGGACTTTTGCTAATGAAGGGGTTGTTATTAGCTGGGCGCCAGCCTCACTAGACAGCAGGAAGAGGCGGAATCAATTGATCTTTCAATTATTTTTCTCTTAATGCAATTGTGACTGAGTTATTGGGTACTATACTAATAACTCATGGATGCACTGGCTGTAAAGAGATCCTGTTCTTTTGCAGTGGACTTGGAAAAAAAAACCTTTCAGGAATGTGGCCAATCTGAACAGACTGATTTCACACCTGGGTGAAGGCGCTCACATTATGAGCCAGACCACCTCCCGATGTGGACCTGTGCTAATATAGCTGTAGACTCATACTGTAGACACAAGCATATCAATCAATCACACACACAGACTGTACAGACACACATTTAGACACAGGCACACAGTGCACAGTGGTCTCAGTAAGCGCTGACAGAGTCTCATTATTATGATGGGCACCATACATACTGCAGGTCTTCATAGGCACACAAACACATGCAGGAACTACAACATTCAGCACACACACACACACACGCTCATTTGGCTGCCTTGCATAGACAAAATCCTGCTGAGACAGAGATCGCACATAACTCACACAGAGACATAAATACCTCATTATCTATACACAGACACACACAAACTAGTTTTTACTACACGCGCACACACTCACTTTCTCTCCCACCCCATCTTTTCTTGCTTTCATTAAAACCACACTGACAAACAGCAGCATATGCAGCTACACTCAGCAACAGATGTTGAATGGGAGATATTGTGTAAGACTGAATGTTAATGTACACTGTGTATAAAATGCTAACGAAGCGCTGTCATCTGTGTCTCCACAGTACTACGAGATGTCCTACGGTCTCAACATTGAGATGCATAAACAGGTAAGTCAGACTGTACTCAGTGTGTTTGTGTGGGGGTTTTTTCAGTCTCTGCTCGCTGCTGGTGTACTTGGTTGGAGGTTGTGTGTGCATATCTTTCTGTGTAGAAGTTGCATTTTTTGAGTAGGCGGGAGGAGGTGAATGTGTTATTTTACACACACAAACATTCTTACCAGCGTGTCATTTTGTGTGGGTGAGTTTTTACTATATTATCTAGATCCTGTCCTCCATTTATATTTTGTATTTACACTAAGTGACCTCCATATACGTCAATAAAGTGAACGTATTATGACAAACACCTTTCTATACAAAGTATAGCTTCAAAATGTAACGTAGCATTTGGTCAACACAGAAACTACAAACTGTAATTTGGTGATGATATATGTATTTTTAATCCTACATCATAGTTTATAGATTAAGTTCTAATCTAACAAATTTATACCTATAAATATGTTTAATGCCTGTCTAATATATATCTAATACATGACCCTCGTGTTGTTCTTTCACATAGCTAAATGTGTAGAAAAATAGTAGGCTACATCAAATTATTCCGTTTTTTTAGTGCATTAGGGTTGTCTTGCATTAGTTCACATTGTGCATGAGTTTATATTTTTCCTGGTTTCTCAGTGTATACTGTATTGGCAGGATGAAGAAGGATCTGTTCCAGCTGAAATTCTTGTGTAAAGATGAAGAGCAGGAAAAAAAGTAGTGACTCATCTTCGTAAAATAAGATAGAACTTTATTAATCTCGAAGGAAATTTTTGTGCCAAACAGATGAATAGCAAAAAAACGATAGAATAAACATATATGAACAATAGAATAACAATTATTAAGCGTAAAAGAAATAATACTGACACCATTGCAAAATAGAACACAAAAAACACTAGTACTAGTACTGTGTACTGTAGATCAGGACCAGAAACAGGACAAAAGAATAACGTTTTCTTGTTAAGGAAGGATCCGTTTTTTCTGTCTTTTATTTGGTAGACTCATAATCAGCAAGAGCAACAAGTGGTTTCAACACTGAGCTATGGATGGCTGATTGTATTAGTTTTAATAAGGGGTCACTGCTCAACACTGTAGTTTACCTCTCCATGCCTCCGTATGGAATAGAAACTCAAGAACTGCTGCACGAAACCAGCAGAGTGTGTTTCCTGCACAATTCTGATATCCCTACTGACTTAATGTTTATTTGTGTGCTATTATCAAGCAGAACAAGCGATGGCTGCTGATGTGAGAATTAGGGAATAATAATGCCATTAAGATGGCTGGTACAGGCTGTAACGGCGACAGACTCGGGGTTAACTGACACTAGATGTCGACAAGGCTTAGCTATTATCGATGGATAGGACTGGTGTGTGAAATCGCTCGCCGGTTCTTCTAAGCAATGTGAAAAACCACATGCCAGCTCAAAGGCATTAAAAGAAGGTCGGTGTAGATTGTGTGTCGTTTCCATTTATCCCCACTGAGATCCGGTACTCTTGGAAGAAGACATGAGGAGCAGTGTGTGCTCTCGGGAGTCGGTGACTGCTCGTCAGTCCCCACTTGCTGCTAATTTGCTGTCTGGGTCACACTGCAGGAGAAGGAGGGGACAGTCAAATAGCAGACAGGCAGATACATGTCCAGACAGACGGATAAAAAAGCAGACAGACAGACAGACAGCAGACTTGAGATCTGTTCTGCTGTGTTTACGGACTCATTATCCAGTCCTTTAAGGTGACTGCCTGTGTCTCCCTCCCTCTTAAACTGTCATGCTAACTCTGCGGTGGACTCAGGCACTGTCATGGAAGACTAGAGGGGATGGGTTTTTACCACCATGCCCGGCATAATGCATTTAGAGAGCAGCTCGTTGTTTGAAACAATTTCTAAAAACGCCCTCAAATGAAAGCCTCTGCACTTTAACTTCTAATCATTGTGTCGTTTCACGATCACGGTAATTACAGCACGAAGACATTAAACAGTGGGTTTCTGTCCAAATACTTGCAGTGCAGTGTACTGGCTGATGTTGGGAATGATGCAAGACGAGTTTAAGAGCCAATCAGGGCGTGTTTTTAATGACCTGCATCAGCTCTATTTAATCCTAATCCATATGCTGTGTTTATGGTAACATGTTGTGTTCAGGTGAAGCTGTGTTTTCAGCAGCACTGCAACAAAAACACATACAGTATAAAACAATTATGATTGTAATATCTGAGACACCATCTGTAGGTATAGGTGAGAGCATTCAATGTGTACCAGAGAACATCTGCTTGTTTGCCACACTCTGCATGATTGAAGATGAATACTAGCCATTATATTTGGATCAGATTATGTAACATAGTTTGTGACACCTTGATGTGAGGTAGTATTTAATTTTAATAAGAACAAGATATGCAGATCTCTGTGTCAGGAACACGTCAGTGTTAGGCTTTGTAGCTCCAGATTGCCTTGATGTTCTGCTTCAAGTTGAACTTAAAATGTTGTGTTTGAAACTGTAATTGTTTGAAAGTTTCCCCTCTGCTCCTCATGATTTATTCTGCGTTCTTCCAAAATCCAACTTCAGTCCTGGTCTCATGGACCAAAGACGTGAACCACACTTGAAAGCAGGAAACCTCAGCGGGACTTTATGTTGTAATAGCTGCGCTGGTGAAAAAGGAAGGAAAAAAAGACACGCGTGCACAATAAAACTGACTGATGGATGGGGTAGATTGATTCGATAAACCCCACAGCAGACACAACTATTGACAGAGCAATAATCAGGGGTGAGAGAGACAGGCAGACAAAATGAGAGAGAGAGAGAAAGATAGACTGTTGAATAAAGAGACCAAATGTTGTTGTAAAACTACTTTGAAAGTATTGTTTTACAAGTAATTTTATGCGGTTGAACTACAGTACAGAAACACTCAGGATTCATTTATTTATTTTACTGTGTTTCAAGTAAGAGTGAAATTGTAGTGCTGCAGTATTTTGTAAAATGAGTGATGTCAGTCGACAATTACCATAAAATGGTGCACAAGGGAAATTTAAGATTTGGATAATAATGCCTAAAACAACCTGACACACTAATACAGTAAATGCAATTTTGTTCTTCCCTGAAAAAATATAATTGGGACTTTCAGATAGTAAAAAAAATTACCATTTTGATCACAATGACCAACATTCTAATATGCTACTACAGCACTATCCTTTTTTAAATTTCGTTGACCTTAACCTTCAAAGCAAAATGCAGAAAAGTTATACTTTAGTTAAGATAAGAGAAAGTATTACCCAAAGGTGTAGACATAGCAAGGAGGGAGGGAGGGGGAGAGAGAGAGAGAGAGAGAGAGAGAGAGAGAGAGAGAGAGAGAGAGA